TCTTAATTCCACAACACTAAATGTTAATACATGCAAAGCACCATATTGAGTGAGCACTGGGGATAAATATGAACAGTGTGGTTTCTGTCTTCTAATGGAGGAGGCAAATGAGTAAACAATCTATTAAGTTACCCATGGGGTGTAGGGCAGTGATGAGGGCTGTATGAGATATACTAAGAAAGGCTATGATAACACAGCAGGAGAGGCCAATCTTGATCAGGCCTTGGAAAGAGTAAATCTGGAAGGATAAAGAGGATTTCAACTGAAGAGGGGCCTGCCAAGCAGAGGGAAGGAATAATCCAAGACTGGGAGCATCAAAGATTGTGCACCAAGGCTCAAGTACATGGAAAAGCAGATGCTTAGTGCTGGTGAATGTGAGTCGTCAGAGCTGGTATGTGAGGGCGGACAGGAGACACTGTCAGGACTAAATGCTTAAGGCCTTGACTGGCCTGCTCAGGAGTGTGGACCTTATTGTAAGGGTACTAGGAACGACCTAGACACATAAGCTCCAAATTTTATGTTCATAATGAAGAAAGAGGCAATTGAGATCTCGTAAAGTGAAGAAGTTGGAAGAAGGAGATATTAGAGCAAATTCATTGAGCTCGGTGCCTTCAAGTTACTGTGGACAATAGAATAAATTATGAAAATCAAATGCACACACAAAAGTCTAAGGGAAAAAAGAGAGAATCCAAATTAGCATCTCTGCCTATGGCTCTGATGTTCAAGGTTTTCACACTCTAGATCAAGCTTGTACAGCCCATAGCCCGCAGGCCCTATTGCAGTTTTGAATGTGGCCCAATGTAAACTTGTAAACTTTCTTTTTTTTTTTTTTTTTTGAGATGGAGTTTCGCTCTTGTTACCCAGGCTGGAGTGCAATGGCACGATCTCGGCTCACCGCAACCTCCGCCTCCTGGGTTCAGGCAATTCTCCTGCCTCAGCCTCCTGAGTAGCTGGGACTACAGGCACGCGCCACCATGCCCAGCTAATTTTTTGTAGTTTTTAGTAGAGACGGGGTTTCACCATGTTGACCAGGATGGTCTCGATCTCTTGACCTCGTGATCCACCCGCCTCGGCCTCCCAAAGTGCTGGGATTACAGGCTTGAGCCACCGCGCCCGGCCCAACTTGTAAACTTTCTTAAAACATTATGAGATTTTTTGTGTGTGATTTTTTTTTTTTAAGCTCATCAGCTATTGTTAGTGTTAGTGTATTTTATGTATGGTGTGTGTGGCCCAAAACAATTCTTCTTCCAATGTGACCCAGCCAAACAACTGGACATCCCTGCTCTAGCGTCCCCCTACATGCAAGGATGAGGAAGGTAATGCACTCCCGACTCCCAGCCCAGTGCTCAGAGGTGAGCACAATGAATGCTCTACCAAGAGTTAAATCAGAAAGCTTTCTTGGCCTATGGAAACATCTCAAGAAATTAAGTGTCTTTTGGAAGGGGATGATGGGTAAAAGGAAAACAGATAATGGTAGAATATGGGAGGAGAGGGAATGGGAAGGAAGGAGGGAGAGTGAGAATGAAGGGGAGATGGGTGTGTTTTACCTGATGCAAAAGTTAAGTTATATAGGCTGTTATATACTGACTCCTGGAAGAAGAAAAAAGAAAGAAGAAGAAAGAAGAGGAAGAAAAGGAAAAAGAAGAAAGGAAGAAGAAAAAAGAAAGAAGGAAAGAAGAAGAAAGGAAGAAGAGGAAAGGAAGAAGAGGAAGGAAGAAGGAGAAGAAAAAGGAGAAGAAAGAAGGAAGAAGAAAGAAGGCCAAAATTCAATTCATAGATATTTTTGGAAGATGACACCAAGGATGTTATATTTTGTGAAATTTCTTTTTAGCACTTTCCAAATTTCCTATACAAGACAAATATTACAATCAAATTTTTTTTCCCCCAAAAAAAGCCCCCTTTTAAAAATAGACTTTGAAGTTGAAATCTACTCAGGTATCACTGCAGCTCAGATAGGACACTGTGGGCCTGGTGCCTAGGGGAGACTCACTGACCAGTAGCTTTGAAATTCTTTATTACTGATATCATTATGATACTAACAATTTATCACAGCTTGGATAGAATATTTCTAGGCTGGCACTGTCCAACACAGTGATGATGTCTGCAATGTTGTTCTATAGCTGTGCTATCCAATAAAGCAGTCACTAGCCACTCATGCTACTGAGCTTTCGAAATGTGGCTGGTACAACCTAGGAACTGGATTTTACATTTTATCTATTTTAATTAATTTGCATATACTTTTCAGAGAGTGTCTCACTCTGTTCCTCAGGCTAGAGTGCAGTGGTATAATCATAGGTCACTGCAGCCTGGAACTCTTGGGCTTAAGCCATCCTCCCACCTCAGCCTCCTGAGTTGCTGGGATTACAGGTATGCGCTGCTGGCTTTTTTTTTTTTTTTTAGACAGAGTCTCTTTCTGTTGCCAGTGGAGTGACTTCTGCTTACCGCAATCTCTGACTCCCTTGGTTCAAGTGATTCTCCTGCCTCAGCCTTCTGAGTAGCTGGGATTACAGGCACAGCTAACGCTTGTATTTTTAGTAGAGACGGGGCTTCACCATGTTGGCCAGGATGGTCTTGATCTCCTGACCTTGTGATCCACCCACCTCAGCCTACCAAAGTGTTGAAATTAGGGGTGTGAGCCACTGCGCCCGGCCTTGCTGGTCTCAAGCTCCTGGCCTCCAGCCTCTGCCTCCTGGAGCGCTGGGATTATAGGTTTGAGCCACTGAGCCTGGCCTAATTAATTTACACTTAAATAGCCTTAAGGATCCCTTAACACATTCTACTCAGACTGCAGCCCTGAGCCCTTTGAACACAAAACGCTCCCCACATCCTCCCTACACTTCCTCAAGGGAGAACCAGGGCCTCTGCCTTGGACATGGACATGCTTTGATCCAACCACAGGGCGTTTTCTTCACCTCGGTAGCATGGGGGCAGTGTGAGGAGGGTGGGGACCGGTTACCAGGGCAACCAGGAGCTGTGTTGGTGCCAGCCCAGCTGTGACCCCTATCTTCAGTCTTAGACTCGTTGGATTCTTGTCAAGAAAGAAAATCATCTGTCGTTGTATCTCTTAAGAATGTAAACCATCTGTCTTTCTACCTCTTTCTCTCTCTGTTTTGGTTCTATCTAAGGTATGGCTAGCCTGGTTTTTTTTTTTTTTTTTTTTTGAAAAAATGTAGTAAGTAACTTGTGTTTCTTCCAGTAATCTTTTCTCCTGTGCATAAATTTCTCTTCTGAATTCTGTCCCCCAGTCCATGCAGCCCACTTAACAGGCATCACTTGTGAAGGGGAGACTATAGAAATTGCATTTTAAAATCTATGAATTTTGGTTGCTTTGTTATTTAACTTACCTTTTATTTGCAGTCACCAAAGAGAAACCTAAAATAACACTGGCACAGTGACATTTTATACACTCCCTTAGAAATGGTTTATATCACTGGTGTGTATCTATGATTTATGTTGTGTGTGTTAGCAATAATTTTAAAACGTGATAGTTATTGAATGCTATAGGTACTTTTCTGTGCACATATTTTGTATTATCTCATTTAATAATCCCAAGAATTCGATCAAATAGATCCCGTTACCATTTCTACTTCACAGGAAGAGACTAAGCCCTTTGTCAGGTCATACAAGCCTGGTGGTGGAACCAGGTTGCCTATGTTTATTATCTCTAGTTTAATATCAACATTATGTTTAAATTATTACTCTCTTTTATAGATCTTTTGCCCTACCTTCTAAAATCAAATGTTGCAAACCTGTGATGATTCAAGGCCTGAACCACTGCAAACTCAAGCTGCACCCCCCGCCCCCATAACAAAGAGAGGCACACTCTTTGGGGGCTCTAGAATAGACCTAACAATGGTTTAATGGCTCAAGGCACAACAAAGAAAAGATAGTGACCTAGGGAAGGGACACCTGGGGGTAAGCCCAGCCCCACTGAAAGTGAAAACAACAGTGTTGGTCTGTGGCCAGTTCCATTCATTCCTGGCCTTTGGACATAATTAGTGCACGGCCCCAGCCTTTGACCTGCCCTCATCTCTCCTGAGTTACGGCCAGTTATACCAGCGAGGACGGTTTGTAACTCTGGTGTGAGACACTCTAGGGATGGCCTCACGGCCTGCACACAGGAGAGTGCTATTCATCCATTCATTCACTTGAAAACATGCCACAACTATTTTCTGTTGTTTACTGTGTGTCAGGCCTGGGGGGCGGTGGGGGGCGGGTACAATGGCTAACACAAACAGCCACAGTCCCTGCCCTTTTAGGGGTAAAGTCTAGTTGCAGAGACAAGCATTAATCAAATTCTCAGACTGTCAGTTGCTGAGCTGCCACAGGGACAAGCACAACAGTGAAATGGCACCATGAGAGTCCATCATGGAGGTTTCACTTGCCTGAGGAAGCTTCATGGGTGCTGACATCAAAGGATGAGAAGGGCTAGCTCAGGGAAGAAGGGAAAGGGATACAAAGGCCCTGTGGGAGAAGTGTTGCAGTGGGAGGGACTGGAAGAGGCCATGTTGCTCCCGTGGACATGGGGGGTGGTGCATAGCTCCTAAAGAGCCTGGAGCCGTGCGGAGGCCACACCATGCATGCTTAGCAGTGCAGATGTTTGGTCTTGACCCTGAGGTTAGTGGGAAGCCACTACAGGGTCATAAGCAGAAGAAATAGAGCCAGATCTGATAGCACCTGGGAAGAGAAGATGAGGACTTCCCCATGTATGAGGTACAGGGAGCCTCTGCCCTCTCAGAGATTAAAATCCCACAACAAGGTGTTTTGGCAGAGCCTGTTCAGGCTGGGGCAGAGGGTGGCATTGTTCCTAGGGCTGAGTTCAGAGAGGTGATCAGGACTGGAGCTAACATATGTAGAAAATCTACTGGGTACCTGGCTCTTTAAAGCCCCTCTGTGGTTACCTTAGGATTCAGGAACTCTACTGCACCAAGTGCTGTAGAGATCTCATCCTGTGTCACCCAGGTGGAATATGCATGTTAGATACAGACAGCAATTGTTACCTGGTCATTGAGTGGTATCCCTTCTCCCATCTTCCTTCGATTTTCCTCCGAGTGATAGTCATCAGCATCATAGAATTTCCACCCCAGCTTTAAGAACAAAGTGAAAGGATGTGTGTGGCAGGCAGATGGGCCAATGTAACAGTCATCGTGGGGTTACTAACAGGCAGGTGTAGAAACACTACCATCCGCCTAGTTCCCATCAGCCCCAAGGACAACCCCCAGGAGAGAAGCACCTTGTCATGCCATTTCACAACCCCTGTGAGTGGGCTGCCACAGCCTCCTTCAATTCATCACTGTTTATAATCACCAAAAACGAAATTGCTCCAATGGGGTTCAAAGCCATAGTGGAAGTGTCCATATAAACCACGATAGGCCAGAAGAAAGGCAGAGATGCAAGGAGACCAGAACACGATGGGATACACACTTGGAAGGCATTAGGACCGGTTACTAACCTCAGATGCCAGCAGAGCGCCCACGGTGGATCTGTGGAGAGGACACAGATGTTCCCATTACTCCCCTGCCCAATGTGTGGAGCTTCCTGCCGTGCAAGGATGTCTGGGAAAGGGATGGTGGCTATCGCGAGAATTTAAACACCAATCACCGTGTAAGCAGTGATGCCCTTGACTTTAGAAGCTAGAGATTGGCCTCAGCTGATCCCCGGGAATGTCAATGAAGAAATAATTAGTTAACACTGTTTCTTTCTCAAAAGGCAATATATAAGATTTCATTAAACCCCTAAAGTTTTTTCTTCAATAATAAGTTTTTGGTCCCTGTGTGTAGATTTTTTTTGTAGCGGGGGGAATGCTGAATTAATAAAGTGTTAATATTCTGTTGAGAATATTGGATGGAGGGGTCTGATGGAGGATTTAATCTCTAGCAGCACCCATGTAAAGTTCAGGAAACTCATAAAAGCATAAAAACATTTTTGAAGTTTAAAAGAGACATGCTCCTAAATAAGGGATATGGGTCAATGTTTCAAGAATCACGGGTACTTGTTAAGACTGGGAGTTAAATGTTCTTTGTGCAGAGTATTTGGTAGCTGTCTATTTATCCTCCACCAGGCAGCACGTGCTAGTGAAAGGGGCTCCGGTCTCAGTACTGGAGATGGGGCCACAGTTGCTTTCTGCCGGTAAATGACTGAGTGCTCTCAGTCAAGTCACCTGTTCCTTTAAACCTCGGTTTTCTCACCTGCAAAACAAGGGATCTGAGCCACATGATTTAGCCATCCACCTACATTTCATTCAGCTGATCTTTATTGAGCACCTACCAGTTCCCAGGATGCAATGGTGAGCTCACTAAGATATGGTCTCAGCCATTCTGAGTTACACACTCTGTTACCACAGGATAGGGGTAGAGGCCAGCAGACAATGATCCATAAAGTGCTTTCTTGCTTGCAATTTTTAAAGTGTTGCCCAAATGCCAATTACTTAAGCATCATCTTCATAATTTGTACCTATCCCCATACTATTTTATCATGCCCTCTTAAATTTTGCACATCACCTCAACATTTGATGTTTTTATTTAATTTTTTTAAATAAAGCAATAAGTGTGTTAAAGAAGGAAACTTTCATTCCCTTATACAAGAAGCTATCATCACTTGCCTTGAATAGAAGGTACCTGAAAACCTGTATATAATGAAAACAGAACAATGTGATTAAATTCTAGCTGGATACTGTTTTCTAACAAAGGTCCTCTTTCTTTCATTAAAAAGCTATCAGTGAGGGTGTTCGACACACTTGTATCAAACTGAGATCTGCTCCTTGATGTAACCAAAGGATTGAGAGAGCACTGAAACCTTTCCCATATGTTCACTCTATTGAGGGCTGTGCAGGGAGATATGTAGCCTACACATGAATAAACTATCTGGCCAAACTCCAAGGCTGGTGAAGCCAGAGCTGTGCATAGCAGAAATCACACTTAAGACCAAGTTAGGTTGGGCGCAGTGGCTCATGCCTGTAATCCCAGCACTTTGGGAGGCTGGGGCAGGCAGATCACTTGAGGCAAGGAGTTTGAGACCAGCCCGGCCAACATGGCAAAATCCTGCCTCTACTAAAAATACAAAACTTAACTGCGCATGGTGGCGCACGCCTGTAATTCTAGCTACTCCTGAGGCTGAGGCATGAGAATCGCTTGAACCCAGGAGGCAGAGGTTGCAGTGAGCCAAGATCACACCACTGTACTCCAGCCTGGGCGACAGAGTGAGAGTCTGTCTCAAAAAAAAAAAAAAAAAAAAAAAAAAAAAGAGAGACCAAGTTAGATTAGCCATGAATGAACATGCCAGCTAGCACTCATTTGAAAGTAGTGCTAAACTGATGTGGGTGTGACTGTCAGGAAGAAGATGGGAAAAGAAAAACCACTGTCTGTCTAAAACAGAGAACACCTGGACTCAATATGTACTAAACCCTGGCAGAAATAAGGCACAGTGCTGAGTCCAAAAATACTGGTCAGACCCAGGTTTACAAATCAAGATTTGGTGTCTATATGTCTCCCAGTGTGTTGGTCCAAATCAGGAGCAAGGGACTTAAAGAGACAACACAGGCCAATGGGGGAGAACGAAGGGATGCAGAATCAATGAGAAAGATATTCAAAAGGGCTGAGCTTGTTTCATCAGCAAACATCAGGAAACCTGGAAAGAGATCTTAAGGGTGGCTTCACTAACATTGTGAAAATACAAAGAAAACTAACACCGCCACCCACTCAAATGCCTGCCATCTTCCATCCATCCATTCATTAAGTCAACAAATATTTAGTGAGTACCTACGAAGGGCCAAGAACAGTTTTAAACACATGTATCAGTAAACCAAAAAGATGATCCTTCACATTCAGGAAAGGGAAGACAGTAACAAACTTATTACTTGAGGTCACTGTGTTTTAATAGTGTTCTAAATGGAGTCTTTCTGTTTTGAGACTATTGTTCTCTTCAGCCATCAGGCTGTGACAAATATTTTTCTAAATGTTATGGAGTATAATTAAAAAATCCTGTAGGGCTCCAGGAGGGGCTCACAAAGTCACCAAAGAACTTGATGTTGCTATAACCAATGACGAATATAATCAAGTCTCAGTCTTTTTGTCACTCAGCTAGTCAATAACATTGGACACATCTTCCTGACCCTAAGCCACTAGAGGCCTCCAGGGTTCAGCCCTTGGCCAGCTTCTTTATCTACACGCACTCCTTTGGTGATCCCAACACCTTAGGTCTTTAAGTACACTCACCCACCAATGAGTCCCACAGTTAGATCTAAAGTCCCTCTCCTCTGTTCAGACTTAGACATCCAACCATCACCCACTTGATGACTGATTGGCTCGTACAACTCACCATATCCCACACTGGACTTCTGATGTCTTCCAAATCTGCTCTATCCCATCTCAGTTTGTGGCAACTCCCTCCTTCCAATTACCCAGGCCTAAAATCTTGAATCATCCTTGACTCCTCTCTCGCCTTCTCACACCCCACATCTAGTCCACAAACACATCTTTCTGACTCTACCTTCAAAATATCTCCAGCATATGACCATATCTCTTCACCTGCATTGTTTTTGACTTCGTGTCCCATCATGCTTCCTCTCAGCCCCAATGGCTTCCTTGCTGTTCCTTAAAGAAGCCAAACCTTGGCTAGGCAAGGTGGCTCACTCTAGTAATCCCTGCACTTTGGGAGGCTGAGACAGGTGGATGACCTGAGGTCAGGAGTTCGAGACCAGCCTGGCCAACATGGTGAAACACCATCTCTACTAAAAACACAAAAAATTAGCCAAGTGTGGTGGTGGGCACCTGCAATCCCAGCTATTCAGGAGGCAGAGGCAGGAGAATCGCTTGAACCTGGGAGGTGGAGGTTGCAGTGAGCCAAGATCATATCATTCCCTTTGCCTCTCCTGCTCTTTTCTTAGCTATCTACATGGCTGATTCCTTTAGTCTTGCAGGTCTTTGCTCATATACCACTCCCCCAGAGGAGCCTTCCCTGACCACTCTACCTGGCGCTCTTTGTTCCACTTACCCCAGAGCACCTATCACCAACTCATACACTACATATATATTTATTCATTTACTCTGTCACACATATGAGAATGCAAATCCTTTGAGGGCAGGGATTTTATCTGTCCTGTTCACTATATGACAATGACACAGAGTAAGGATTGAGTTCAATAATTACTTGGGTAGTACTAATACTACCCAAGCTATACACCATAGGGATTAGACCCCCCCTTATCTGATCCAAAACTCAGAGGGGTACATGAATTGCCCAAGCTCACACAGCCAGACAGCAACAGAACCAAGACCTAGGACTCTTCACTCCTGTTACATCACACCATGGCAATTATTTTACATTCTCCAGCTGATCCAAATCATATAGCAGCTAGCGATTTGGAGGCTCCGTGTTTTATTTCAATTTCAGTTCAAGATTTCTTATCTTTGTGGCCAAGAACCCTAAAATAATTTTGGAAAGCAAAACCCATCTACCTGGAGTAAGTCTTTAACATACACCTAACTACACGGGCCACTACATGGGGCGTTCCTGATTTAAAATTCTCGAAGTGTCCTATAGACCCTTGAAGGTTATGATGTTTTAGTTGATCAAGTTCTGTCCTTTGCTGCCTGTGGTGGAATGCTGCCATAGCTGTCTTTTCTGATAAAGGGCACAGTTGGACTTTGGTTTAATCAGGAAAACAAATGTTAACTCCTCAGTCTCCAAGTTAGCCACACTGGGCTGGAGAGTACCTGTGTGGTTTCCACAATTCTCTCCTTGCTTTCCAAACTCTCAGGAGCCACCCTCCATATTAACGCAGTCTCCTTCCAGGTTAAGCTGACAAATACTGATCAAAGGAAGGGGAAAACGATTCACTTTCCAAAAGCGAATCGCAGGAGTCCAGGGCCTCAAAGGCGGAGGCCGTTGTATGTCCAGATGGCCAAAGGTCTGTGACAGCCTGGGCCATGGTTTTCGTCCTCTCGCTAGAGGCCGTGCGCCCTCCCGCCTGGCCCAGACAAGGCACCCGGAAACTGAAACCCGCACCGCCCGCTAGGCCTCCACCTGCGTGGCCCCGCAGCCGCCTCTTCACCAGCGGCTTCCCCTCTGAGCCTGCGGTCGCCGCAGCCTCTCCGTCTTAGAACCGGAACCCAAGGCTCGGATGCTGTCCCAGGCCGGGCGCCCCGCGAGCAGTCTGGAGGGCGGGGAGAACACACGGCAGCCGCAGGCCTCAGTGTTTTCATCTGCAAAGGTAAGGGTCGGGGGGTCGCCAGGACCCCGGTCCACCGGCAGGGACCGCGGCGCGCCAGGCCTCCGCCGCGGCCGCAACACCTCCCCCGGGCGCCCCCCGCGGTCTCCTGGACCTACTTCCCCGAGCCGCTCACGCCCATCACCAGCAGCGCGCCCGGCGCCGCCATGGCCGGAGCCCCGCTCTTCCCGTCGCCTTCCCGGCGCCCCAGAGGCGGAGTCGCTCCCGTCCTCGCCGGGCCAGTGAGGGCTGAGGCCCTCTGCACCCTCCCCGTTTCCCCGCGCGCCTTTTCGTTGCCTTCCGCCTCCCTTTCTCATCCTCCCCGCCTCTCTCTCCTGCCCCTCCCCTTTCTCTCCTCTCTCTTCCCCTCCCCATTTTCTGTTCCCGGAAGTGGGGCGCGCGCCGGGTCTGGCGCCCTCGTCTCAGGGGCTGGAGGGAGCCGCCCAAAGCCCTGTCACCTGTCGTCCTTCTGCTCTGGCCCCTCTTGGTTGCAGAGGAGCCTCCCACCCTGGCAGGCTGGATCCTCTTCCACCCATGGAAAGCATTCATTCATTCACTCATTTATAAAAATGTTCTTATAAAAAGAATAAACAGAAAATAAGACTCAGACTTTCCCACACCAGGCAGCCATAAGCAGCTCTTCCTAAAACGCCACCCCTTTTCCCCCACCCCAGCGTAGATAGATGGGTATGAATACTTTGTAAAATTGGGATCAGGCCGTACACAGCGTTTTGTAACCTGGCCTTTTGTCACTATAATATATGGCGGCCATCTTTTGGTGTCAAACTTGGGGTTGAGGGTTGACCATAGCGGCGTATTTCATGGCTGTGAGGCTCTGCTATTACATCCAGCTCTTGTTGAGACTTTAAAAGGAAGGAGCACCCCTTTAAAGTGCCCATTTGCTTTAAAACAATGTGTTAATTATGTGTCGATTGAACTATTTGATTAAAAGCACTTCTAACCACATTTGGCATCACCTCCTTTGGTCTTTTTTTTTTTTTTTTTTGAGACGGAGTTTCACTCATGTTACCCAGGCTGGAGTGCAATGGCGCGATCTCGGCTCACCGCAACCTCTGCCTCCTGGGTTCAGGCAATTCTCCTGCCTCAGCCTCCTGAGTAGCTGGGATTACAGGCATGTGCCACCATGCCCAGCTGATTTTTTTGTATTTTTTTAGTAGAGACGGGGTTTCACCATGTTGACCAGGATGGTCTCGATCTCTTGACCTCGTGATCCACCCGCCTCGGCCTCCCAAAGTGCTGGGATTACAGGCTTGAGCCACCGCGCCCAGCCTTTGGTCTTTTTTTAACCAAGGTCGTAGGTATTACTCTGCATCCTAGAAAACAATAAAAGTTACATAAAAGCATTTATCTAACAAATAGTTCAATTACCCCTGCACTGGCTTTGTTTTTCATATACTTAGTCTGAGTAGGTGAGATTTCAATCTGGTTGGGGGGGTTATACAGATGAAGAAATTGAGGCTTGGAGAGACAGATTTTACAGTTCAGTTATGGTCAATACACATTTCTTGAACATCTACCATGTGCTTGTTAATATATTAATATTCATTTAAAAGATTACTCTCTAGGCATTCTCAAGCTTGAGAGGAATAAATGTGTATGCAAATGCTCTAACTCGTGCCCTGCTTCACTAGCTTCAGTATGAAAAAAAAGCTCATATTTCTTTCAATGTTTAAATCAGAATGTTTAGCAGAAAATCTGGTTCTTCTCCTTGGATTTCCTTCATGAGACATGTCCAAGGATCTTAAACTCGCTGTGCTGCTCTGGGTGGTGGCAGGGACCAGCACATTCACATTGGGGCAGGTGAACAGGATTTAACAAAGGGACTATTTGCAGAGATGTAGATAGGGTCCGAAAAAGCAGCTAGGCTCAGAGTCCACCTCTGAGTAACCGAGAAGTGTTTTCATTCTTAAATAGAAAGGGTTGATGAGAGGAAGCCTTTATATGGGAAGGGAAGAGAATGGAAGGAGAGAGACAGAGAGAATAGACCATATAGAAAGAAGTGTCTGATAGGACTGTAGCCTTTGGAAGAGAGATAGACATTCCTTGTTGACCCAGCAGAAAAGTAATCAGGAGAATAAAAAACCTTCCCTCCCCTCCTCTTGCCCTGTGATCTCCTGCCACACCCAATTGGGAGGTAGAGAGCTAGGGAATCCGTGGATGCCCATGCATGTCAATTTCCTGGGCTTAGAGCAGGGAAGAGAATGGTGGAGATCGTATCTGGATGGACCAATGAAAGATACCCAGCACACCAGTGTCAGTGAAACCCTGTGCATGCTTCCAGGACAGCAGAACTTCAGAGGTGCCCCTAAGAGCTGAATTCCACATTTCTTTGCTTTCCAAAGACTGCCACCTGCTGGTCCTGGTTGTCTTGGTGCTTCCCAGCTGTTACTAAGGGGCAAGAGGCTGAATATTGGTCTGGTTTTAGGTCCGGTCTGCTGCAAGAACTGTTGTACTGAGAGGCACATGGTACTCTGGAAACCCCATCCCTAGAGGCACAGCTTCCTGCATGCATTGCTATAGTCACTCAAGTCCAGGTCACCCCCACATTCAGGACAGCATGCACTGTAAGTCTTAAACAGAAATGGTAGTGCTCCTGTGTGAAGCTGCCCATTTCCACAGGGGTTAAACAAAGCCTAGTGACGAGCATCTAGTAATGCACACAGGCACTTCCATATTTAGTAGATGGGAGGCAAATCATCTACAAAGATGGCTGGGTTGGGGCAGATATTCACATAAAAGGAGCCTCACAGACATTGATTTAAGATCTCTGCCTATAATATGAAGGAAGACAGTAGAGAATTAACTCAACAATACCTTTCATAGGTTTAAACACTAAATAATTTTATCCTAATCTCTCTAGACTGTTCATATGAATAATTTTCACAAGTAAAACATACCTGCCTCAATCAAAAGACTTAACACAAGATCCTTTTGGAAAATAAGGTCAGGAAACATTTAAAACAAAATGAATGTGAACCTATGTCAAGCCATGCCATGCCTTAAATGCCTCTAACATATATTTGGCACTGCATAAATGAATTAATCTTATGGGAGGGATAAAAAGTATGATCCTTGATATGTAAAACTGTGCACATAAAATATGCCATTTCAAGGTGCTATACTTGTCATACAGGAATCAAAAGATGCATTAAGCCATTAATCTATTTACTTCAATTTAGTTTAAGCTTCAGAATACTTTTATTCTCAACAAAATCTTCCACAGAACCTCAATATATACATCTAATATAGACCAGGCACAGTGGCTCACATCTGTAACTCCAGCATTTTGGGATATCAAGGCAGGAGGATCCCATAAGCCAGGAGTTTGAGGTTGCAGTGAGCTATGATGGCAACACTGTACTCTGGCTTCAGTAACTGAGCAAGATCCTGCCTCTCTTAAAACAAACAAACAAACAAAACAAAACAACAAACAAAAAAACTAATATAAGAAATGCAAAAGCAGTTTTAGGCTGGGCTGACTTCCCAGGCCCCAGCCTTTCTATGTGTGCAGGACAGTTACAAAATAACTAATGCAATCCAATCTGTTCGTTTTACAAATGAGAAAATTATTACTCAGGGGCTCTGGCTTATGATGAACAATTGTTAATCTTACCCATACTAAATTATGTAGTAGTCAGATCAGGTATACATACACTACATCTTTTTCATTATTAAAAAGAAATGTGCCAATTATTGACTACTTGTTAAATGTAAGCTAACCCAGAACATTTATATCCCCAATCACTTCCTTAGTATCTACAATTATAGTACTATATAAGTTATTTTTAAAAATTTTTGTTGTCATAGTGACATAATGTTTTATTTACTCATTTTATCTGAGACTACCCTGGAAGGGAAAGGAGTATTTTTTCCCATCCCTTATTGGAATGACTGAAGATACTTACCTAAAGCAAAAAGGTTGCTGTTAGCAGAACCAGATGTAGAGTTACTATTAGGAGCTGATTATGTAGTAATATTTGTTTGCTGAGCTGAATGATCCTAAGGCCTAGGGAAAGTAATTAATCACAGAGTAAGCAGTAGAACTGATTATTTTTAAAAGAACCACTGAAATTCTGACATCTAGAAATAAAGAGTAAACTCTCAGACAAACTCAAATTATCATTTAGTAAAAAGCTTGAGAAAACTAAGCATTAGGGAAAAAATACAAAATAAAATAAAAAAATCCTACAAAATACAAAATATGCTGCAACTGCTCCTCCTCTTTGAGTATAATGTACTTAGATATTTTATTAGTTTCAGTCATACTGCTTAAGTAAGAGAGGGAGATAGGTTGGTTACCTCATAAGAGGAGAGTCAGTGACCAGTAACATCCACAAAACTTGACTATATACAAAACTTTTTAAAAATCTATCCCCTTGTAGTTATTGAGGGTTAGGGGCCAGTTTTACTCAGACCCTTGAAAATCTTGAAAATAAAAAGCAAGAGACTTCACCAAAAGAAGGGTGACAAATCAATATGGATAATAACTGATGATTAATTCTTTTTTTTTATTTTTTGAGATGGAGTCTGTCACTCAGGCTGGAGTGCAGTGGTGCGATCTCGGCTCGCTGCGGCCCCCACCTCCCACACTCAAGCAATTCTCCTGCTTCAGCCTCCCAAATACCTGGGATTGCAGTTGTGCACCACCATGTCAGGCTCATTTTTTGTATTTTTAGTAGAGATGGGGTTTCACCATGTTGACCAGGCAGATCTCAAACTCCTCGCCTCAGGTGATCCACCCTCCTTAGCCTCC